ATTAAGCATGGACTTCCACCAGGTTATAAAAATAACAAAAAATTTGTTGGTCCTTCTAAACCTTCTGCCAGCATTGTTGTTGCTGAACCTTCTATCGTCTCTAATTCTTTTGCTCTAGAGGTAAATAAGTTAGGTGCTCCTTTTGGTTTCTCAAAGGAACAATATCAAGCCATAATTGCTTTGCTACAATAGTCACAAAAACCCTCCCTTCCAGGGCCAAGTGGTCATCAATGTACTATCAATCCATTAGGTTCTGTACCTTCCTCTTCTACTTGGATATTGGATAATGGTGCTACTGACCACATTTTCCCCTTTAAATCTACCTTTACCACTCTTACACCAATTTCTCTTATCTCGATTCGATTTCCCAATCAACAATTTGTTACTACTAAATTTTCTGGCACATTTGTTTTAGGAAATCTTATTCTTCATAACACTCTCTTTGTTCTTGACTTTTCTGTTCAATTAATTTCTATTCCAAAATTAAGTAATTCTAATGATTGTCTTGTTATTTTCTATAAAAACCATTCTGTTATTGTGTAGACAACTACCTTCTAGATGATTGGAGTAGCTAAAAAGTATCAAGGCCTGTTTCATCTCTTAGGAAATAACAACTTGAATGTAAATAATTCACGTATTCTTTCTTATCAATCTTTATTACAACATACTGCTCTTGTTAATAATACAAATATTTGTACTTTGTGGCACATGAAATTCGGTCATCCCTCTAATAAAATTCTACAAGTTTTACCTTCTCAATATTATGATATTTCTTTTAATCTCGTGGATGCTTGTGATGCCTGCTCTTTTGCTAAACAAAAGAAATTACCCTACTCGACTAGTACTAGTAGAACCACGTCCTTTTTTGAATTAATTCATACTGATATTTGGGGTCCCATTGCTATCACTTCTATTGAAGGCTACAAATATTTTTTAACAATAGTTGATGATTATAGCAGATTCACTTGGATTCTTTTTCTTAAAAACAAAAGTGATGTCAAAACCATTAATCTTCCAAACTTCATTATACTAACTAAAAACCAGTTTTCATGCAAACTAAAAAGATTACGATCTGATAATAGAAAAGAGTTCTTCATAAGTGATTTGTATAATGTGAAAGGTATTTTTCACGAAACTTCTTGTATTGAGACCCCCAACAAAATGGCATTGTTGAGAGGAAACATCAAAACCTTCTCAATGTTTGTAGAGCCTTGTTGTTTCAAGCTAAAGTTCCTAATAATTTTTGGTCTCATGCTCTCAAACTTGCTGTTTATATTATTAACAGATTACCTACCCCTTTTCTCAATCATAAATCTCCTTATGAACTAGTTCACTCAATTAAACCTAATTTATCTACACTTAAAGTGTTTGGATGTCTATCATATGCTAGTTCACTCACTTCAGGCAGAACCAAACTTGCTCCTAGAAGCCTAAAATGTATTTTTCTTGGTTATAAACCTGGAACTAAAGGTTATGTTTTGTATGACTTACATTCTAAGTCCATTTTTACTTCCAGAAATGTTGTAGTTCATGAGAACATATTTCCTTATCATACTTCACAGTCAGATACTTCTCAAATTCCTATTGATCATACACATTCTACAACTGACATCATTCTTTTTTATTTCCCATCTACTTTGCCAATTCCACCTGCCACAACTGTTGCAAATAATGATAATGGTTCTAATGTTGTTAATGATTCTATTGCTTCTAATGATAATCAAAATACTCAAATTGCTATTCCTCCTAACAGAGTATCTCAATTAAAAACAAGCCTCGATACTTGCATCAATACTATTGTGGTGCAGCCTTTGCATCTCAATCTCATTCTACTCCTTATCCGATTCATTTATTCCTTTCTTATGATAAATGTTCACTTGATCATGTTTCTTTTTGTCACAACATTTCTGCACAAGTTGAACCTAAATCATTCTATCTCTAATAATTCACGTGTCATTTAGTAGAAAATTAAAGACTAATATTTTCTTGATAAAAAAATTTATCATCACTCATATTTTTTTATCCATGATCATGATTTACTTGATATCTTAAACTACCAATCAAGAATTTATATATACTCATGGGACATTGTTTTGATTGGTTAAACATTATTTTACATAAATAAAAATCAAACTTGGAATCATTAGATTGATTTCCTATATTTCAAGACAGATCTTATAATTACTAGATCAAGAGAATTGATCTATCACCACTCGTATAAATTAACTGATACAAAATTGTTCCAATTTAATTAATTAATTCTCTTTTGTTTAAATCCTATTATATAATTGGGTTAATTAAAAATAAAAAATTATCTCTAAAAAAAACGTATCATCTAAACAACATATTTTAAAGATGAATACAAGAGTTTCCTGATGCATGTTGAAATATGCTAATTAAGGTTTTCTTGGTTAAGTTTGCTTGATGTGAACATATCATACCATGCATTATTTTGTTATAATAAAATCCAAAGAAAAAATTCTTCTAACATTAAAGACAAACATGCTTAAGAACCTAATAAAAAGAAAATATAAATTTGACTCGGGAAATTAGAACTAGAATTAAAATTTTTTTAAATCATGTTATATTGATATGCATTAAATATTTATCAACTTTATTAATAATATAAAATATTTATTATTGAATTAATCTTATGTTAACACAAGTTGATTTGAATTTTTTTCACACTATCATATGTAAGATAGCATGTTAATATTGTTCCACGTGTTACTTCAACAATTATTCCCGTTATTCAATTTTTTCGTCTTCTGCGTTGTTTGTCGTGTTGTGAACTCAATGGAGTTATATTTTGTATGCTACCTAGCTAGTAGCTAGTGTCTCCTACTAGTACTAGCTGCTCTTAATTAAAACATAAATGATATGCAACATTATTATTATTATTATTATTATTTTTTACATAAATCATTTTCGTAGCTTCAAGTGTAACAACATTTGGTTATTAAAATTCAAAGATCTAAAACTAAAAATAAATAAGTTTTTAAAGGTTCTAACAATTCTTATAAGAAATTGAAAATTTTGATTTTAAGTAGCAGTATAAATATAAAAATGTAATAACACTACTTTGATTTTTGAGTTAAAAATCTTGTAAACATAATTGGAATTTTTTTTTTGGTAAAGTAAAAGTTTATCATAATTGCATTTAACCCCTTTTAATAAAGGCGCGCATTAAAAAAATGCAGAACTGTAATTATTAATTAAATCTTAATTATTAAGATTTTAACAACTTTAAAACTCAGGGTCTGCTCGAAAAAAGTGTGAAAATTAAAATATTTTAACAAAAATTAATTATTGTTATAATCGAAATAACTTTTTATTTGGAGAAATTTACTGAAAAGAAATTTTTAACATATTTAATTTCATTTAAATACAATAAAGAAATCAGCTTTCATGTAGTAAGTGAACTTAAGAAAAAAAGTTATTTAAAATTAATCATAAGCTTCAAATTTTTAAACTGTTTTTTTTTTTAAGAAAAAAAAGAAGTTGTTTATGAGTTTTAGTTAATTTTTCAAACAATTGACTTATTTTACAGGCGGTTTTTTCTTCATCAAAACAGCTGAAATCAGATTTGAGCATTTTTGCTTGAGAGAGCTCTTGAGTGCTTCTCTCTTTGGTTCTTCTCCAAAATTGATCATCTTTGTGGCAAATTTACCTTCAGCTTATCAATCTATTTCAGATTGTGACGTTGCTTTTTATATTCTCATCTTTTCCATGCTAAAATTTTCTTATTTTTTCATCGAGATCTACAATGGTGATTATTCGAATCCATTCCGGTCCTCCGGATAGCTCCGTTCTTTGCAAATCGAGTTAGAAATGCAGCATATTGTCATGAGAGCTTAGTTTCGGAGTGAGATTGCATTGGAATTGATAATTGGAGAATATCCGAAAGAAGTTAGAAATTCTTAAATTTTATATGTACTTTAATTCTTTGTGTGTTTTATTGTTTAGTTGAATGATTCTTACTTGTCTTATTGATGTTCAAAATCTACTAGTGCATGGATGACGTCAATCATCACTATTTAATTAAAACTAGATGAAAATGGGAAATTCTAGATTCAAGAATTGGAGAGATAATTTTAATAATAAAAATGGAGAAATGGGTGAGATAAAGAATTAATTTTTATAATATTTAAATGATATTTTAGGATTAGGTTTTGCACACTTAGTTTTTATCCGTCTAATTTATTTAATTGTATTTATCGAGTTTTCTTTGAAAGTTAATTAATGTAAGGTATCATTTATTCCTTTTTAAGATACGTAGATGTATCTAATTGAATTAATCTTTATTATTGTGATAGTTATTTTTAATTATATATATTACTTTCTTTGTTAATTCAAGTGATTTTTGTGTTAAAAAATAGGAGGCTAATTTTATTAATATACAAGAGCAAATACAAAAAATATTGGTGTCCAGTACGTCTAATAATTTTACACTAATACAACACACTCAGTTATTTACTCACACACACTCTTCACAATACTATTTATATTTTGGTGACACACACACTCAATATATATTCCTCACTTCTCGCAAATACACTCACGTCACTCTCACTCACTACTTACTGTGTTTCTTTTTCACTATGCACATAAGCATGATCACTATCCTATATATAGTTTCCTAATGTCAGTTTGGAAGCTTGCTGGAAGCTCTAGATATTTCTTCATAATTAATGACTCTAGATATTTCTAATTGCTTAAAAATATAGCTTTCTAGTTATTTCTATTTGTCAGGCGGTGATGAAGGAATAATCTAGAATAATAATTGATATTTTAACACTCCCCCTCAATTATTATTTTCTCTTATTGCGGACCTGGTTGTCATGCCAAGCTCTTTTCTGAAATTTTCAAATTTCGCAGCACTAAGTCCCTTTGTGAATATATTTGCAACTTGGCCTTCGGTATTGATATACTTCATCTCAATGTCTCCTTGCAATACCTTTTTTCGAACAAAATGATAGTGCACCTCCACATGCTTGGTTCTAGCATGAAACACTGGATTCTCTGCCAAATGTATTCCGACTGATTGTCACAATGTAGCGTAACTGGATAGTCAATCGGTTGACGTAAGTCTTGTAATAGCTAAGCCACGAACATTCTTGAGCTGCCATAGCTGACGCTCTATACTCCACTTCCGTGCTAGAAAAAGACACCGTTGATTGTCTCTTACTGCACCGAGATATAGCTTCGGATCCCATAGTAAACATGTATCCGGTCGTCGAACGCCGAGTGTCATGGTCACCGGTATAGTCAGCATCGCAATATCCTGTAACTTCACATGGTGCTCCTTTCTTGTAGAAGATGCCATAGTCAATGGTATTCTTGACATACTTTAGTATTCGCCGTGCAGCTTCCAATTGTGGCTTCTTCGGGTTCTGCATGAATCGACTTACTACTCCTACCACATAAGCTATGTCGGGTCGTGTCAATGTCAAGTAGATCAAACTTCCTACTACTTGCCTGTACATTGTAGCATCCTTCAAATCTCGTCCTTCTACTGAGCAAAGCTTAGTATTAACTTCTGTTGGTGTCGAGGTTGGCTTGCAATCAAGCATACCATATCTCTTCAACAATTCTTGGGCATATTTTTGTTGACATAGAAATATTCCGTCTTTTCTTCTTTCAACTTCAAGTCCTAAAAAATGCTTCAATTCCCCAAGTTCTTTCATCTGGAAGCGTACTGATAGATTACTCTTTATTTGATGAACCTCTTTTTTATCATCTCCAATGATAATGAGATCATCCATGTAGAGTAGCACTATGGCCAACTTACCCTTTTGTTCTTTCACGAATAAACTTGAATCTGCTGGTGATGGCGTATCCATTTTGCACCAAGAATTCAGCAATCATCCTATACCATGCTCTAGGGGCTTGCTTTAAACCATACAAAGCTTTCTTCAATTTGCACACATAAGTTGGATGACCTGTGCTCTCAAATCCCCTTGGTTGCTCCATGTATATCTCTCGGTCTAGTTCTCCGTGCAGAAACGCATTTTTAACATCTATTTGCCAGAGCTTCCATGATTTGCTTGCTGCCAGTGCTAACAATACACGTACTGTAGTTATCTTGGCAATTGGGTTGAACGTCTCATCATAGTCTAGTCCATACTTTTGTGAAAAACCTCGAGCCACCAGTCAAGCCTTGTATCTCTCTATCGTCCCATCTGGACGGGTCTTCACCTTGTATACCCACTTACATGAAATGGGTTGCACACTGGATGGTCTTGGCACTAACTCCCATGTTTCATTTTGTTTCAACGCCTTGATCTCTTCTTCCATCGCATATCTCCACTCTTTATGTTGAGATGCTTCCTCATAGTTGTTTGGTTCCTTAATTTAATTGTCTTATACTAATGCTGCATTCGCATATTTTGGATTTGGCTTTCGAGTCCTTGTTGATCTCCTTTGCTAAGGTTTAGGAACCTCCTCCTCTAATTCCTCCATCTAACTAGGTCTCTCGTCCTCTGTAAACCTAGTATAAATACCTTTCTTCCAAGGGCTTTTCTCTTTCTCTGGAGATCTTGCTGTAGTTTGTCCAGGAAAAAATTCGACGTCATCTATTATTTCTTTATCTTCGCGTTGCACCTCCTTTTTCTTTTGCACTTGCTCTTCAATTTCCTTTGTATCTGGTAGCGATACTGCTTGTGAAGACCACAACGATGATGCTTCATCAAACACCACATTCCTGGATACGTAGCACCTTCCAGTCGTCAGATTGCAACACCTCCATCCCTTTCCTTGGCTGTCATATCCAACGAATATACACCAGATTGCTTTCTTCTCGAACTTGTTGTGTTCTTGGCCTGGCACAAAAACGTAGCACACACATCCAAACACTCGAAAGTAACTCACCGAAGGTTTTGTGTTCCACAACTTCTCACGTGGTGAAACGAAGCCTAGTCTTACCTGGGATAATCTGTTGATGACGTAAGCAGCGGTCTTCATGCACTCCGCCCAAAATCTTGGTGGTACATTTTTACTGTGTAACATGCTCCTGGATGTCTCTACCAGCGGTGCTTATTTTTTCTCTCCGCGATTCCGTTTTGTTGTGGGATGTTCAGGCATGTCAACTGCCTCCTTATGCCACATTTTTGCAAGTACTGCTTGAACTCCTTTGATGTATATTCTCCCCCGTTGTCCGTATGCAAGCACCGTATCATACGTCCAACCTCTTTCTCAATATTTTATTTGAACTCTATAAACTTCTTTAGTGCTTCAGTTTTTTCCTTCATAAAGTCTACCCACACGTACCTGGAATAGTCATCGATAATTGTGATCATATATTTATTCCTACTGATCGATAGCTGCTTCACCGGTCCAAACACATCAGAGTGCACCAGTTCCAATGGTGCCTTGGCCTTGTATTTTGACTCTTCATATGGAAGCTCGTGAGCTTTCCCATATTGACATCCAGCGCAAACGACATTCTCTCGCATCTCCAAGTTTGGTAAGCCTTTTAGCATAGACTATTTCATCATTGCTTTAAATCGATTATAGCTCACGTGTTCAAGTCTCGCGTGCCAAAGATCTGCTGTCTCATTCTTCCTTGCCTTGTTCACGTATGCCTCTTGTGCTGACATTACATAGACAGACTCTAATCGCCTTCCTTTCATAATTGCAGGGCATATAGGCTTGAACCTTCGATACACTCCTACGTCTTTTGGTCCAAACACCACATAATTGCCTAAAGTTGTCAATTGTGAAACTGATAATAAATTCTTCTTTATCCCGGGTACATGGTAGACATTGTCGACCTCTACTTGATGTGGACTAAAGCGGGGGACTATAGCGGCCTTTTCGATGTGAAAGATTGGCATCTTGGAGTTGTTTGCAGTCACAACAACTCTTTCTCCCTTATATTCTGACATACTTAAAAACTTTCCTTTGTCTCCAGTCATATGATTTGAGCAGCCAGAATCAACAATCCAATCATCATCATAATTGATTGCTTCACTCACTGTGACCAATGTTGATTCTTCTACTAGCTCATCCATGCATGATGCTACAATCTCTACACCTTCATCCCTCCGAGATTCCTTTACCGCATACGATGCATGGACATCCCATTCTTCTTTGTTCTCGTCCTGCTTAAGTGTGACTGTGTTGCCTTCTTCTTTCCTGGCCCAGCATTCTCGTACATAGTGGCCCTTTTTACCACAGTTGTAACATCGTCCATCCTTGCGCCGATATCTCTTTTGTTCTTCGTAGTCTTTAAATCGGGATTGCGTAGCTCCCCTTTGCTCTGGACCCTTCTTATGTTGGCCTTTCTGCCAACCTTGTCTTCTTTGTGGGCCTTTACTTTCGCTATCTAAATTTGCAGCTGCCTGAACCTCCTTTCGGCCTCCCTTTTTACTAAAACGGGCCTTGTCTTCCTCATTAATTGATACTTTAGACATTTGATTGTCTAAAGCTTCTTGATTTGCCAAAATACTTTCTAACTCTGTTAAGGTGGGTTCTTTGGCCCAACCTCTAATGGCGGTAATAATCCCATTATATTTTGGATTTAATCCAAAAATTATTATTCTCCTCATCCTCGTCTCAGAAATTACATTCTGAGGATCTAATTTTGCAATCTCATTGCAAATTGATTTAACCTTAGTAAAATACTGACTTATCGCCATGTCACCTTGTCTTAGTGACATCAACTTGTTTTCTAACAGCTGCAACTTAGCATCATTCTTCTTTGTGAATAGTGTTTCTAATGTATCCCACGCCTCCTTCGATGTCGTTAGGTCCTTGATCCGCTGCAAGAACTCATCCTCCACGGAGATCGACAACACGTACAAAGCTTTTCCACATCGAACCTTCCATTTCTTTAGATTTTCTTCATCAGTTGGTGGGGTCGTCTCCGCACCACGAACAATGCTCCAAAGATCTTGCCCGAGCAAATAATATTTCATCCGAACGCTCCACGTGTCATAATTGCTGTTGTTGAGCCTCTCCAGTGAGCTAGTTGAGGATACGAGATCTGCCATGATGATTGGTTAGCGCCCAACACTCAAACAATTTACTATGATCCTGATGATCAACAACTATTACAGTCCCAGACTGTATTCCTGCAGAATCTCCTTCACACAGTCCTTAATCACAACTTCTACCAACGTACTAGCTCGAGCAAACTAATTCCTGCTCTCGACCGAACCAGCTCTCATGCCAAATGTTGAAAAAATAGGAGGCTAATTTTATTAATATACAAGACCAAATACAAAAAATATTGGTGCCCAGCACCTCTAATGATTTTACACTAATACAACACACCCACTTACTTACTCACACACACTCTTCACAATACTATTTATATCTTTGTGACACACACACTCAATATATATTCCTCACTTCTCACAAATACACTCACGTCACTCTCACTCACTACTTACTGTGTTTCTTTTCCACTATACACATAAGCATGATCACTATCCTATATATAGTTTCCCAATGTCGGTTTGGAAGCTTGCTGGAAGCTCTAGATATTTCTTCATAATTAATGACTCTAGATATTTCTAATTGCTTAAAAATATAACTTTCTAGTTGTTTCTATTTGTCAGGCGGTGATGAAGGAATAATCTAGAATAATAATTGCTTAAAAATATAGCTTTCTAATTGCTTAAAAATATAGCTTTCTCTCAACTATTATGGCTATTTAAAATTAAGAACATTATCTCTAAAATAAAAATACGTATAAAATAAAATCACAAAATTCTAAAACGAGAGAGTAGGGACATTCGCAGGAGCGCACAATATAGTGGCACACTCGTGCTAGGTGCAACATTTTTAGTCTTCCCAATGCGTTGATATGAATGGGCGTAAAAATTCTATTATATTGTTTTTGTGTTAATTGAAGTTTCAATTAACTATTTTAGTATTTTAGTGTTGTGTATTGATATGATACTAATTCGTGGTTTGAGTATAAATTCATGATTTCTTAATTCCAAAATTATATTTGTTATGTGCTGAATTTACTATTGAACTGGTTCAATATTTTAGATTTGCTTAGTGATCTATTTTACTTGCTCTATGATTTCGTTTACTAATTTTCGTGATGACTTGGGATTGTTTAGAAAAAGAAAGAAAAATACAAAGGGCAAAAGAATACAAAAGAAAGAAAAAAGAAACAAAAGAATAGAAATGAAAAAGAAATAAAAGAATCAAAAGAAAGAATTCAATAAATAAATACTTAAATTAAAATAATTAGAAATAAAAAAATATCTTATATTAAAATAAATTAGAGAACTCATCATAAATAATTAGACTAGATTTTGGACCCAATCTGAAGACTAATTCAAAATAGGAAAATAGTGAGAGTTAGGTTTCATGCGCTCATTTTGAAAACTTAGAGCAGACATGAGGAGAATTGAAGGAGGTTGTGGGAGAAAGCACAAATTGATGGTAGAAGCTATCGAATGGATATCTCTTCTAGAGACTCATCACTCCAGCTAGGGGGAAGGAAATTATCAAGTCCTAAGAATATATGAGGGATAAGGGTAGAAATGAAAAAAGGGAAAAGACTTTTACTTTGGTCCTAACTTTTTCTAGTACCAAAAGGATGAGTGATTAAGTTTTTAAAGTTTTTAAATTTATGTTTTTCATCCTTCAAACTCTATTGCTTCAGCCCAAGGGAAGTTTATTTTTATGAAGTTTATACTTACATATATTTTCATGATCTCATATAACTATGCTTTGATACATATACCTTATAAAGTTTTATATATGCTCTGATATATATATATATATATATATATATATATAT